CTTAATTCATGTTAGCATCATATGAAAACAAAGTAAAGACCAGTTGTTGTGATAGCAAACATTTCTGAGTGCTTACTAGGGATGATGTTAAGCATCATTAAATATAGTAATTATAGGACATGTATGTGTGTTTCTCAAGATACGCTATATAAAATTATTCAGAAATACTTATATATGCCTTCTTTAAATGTGTGTGTGTACTTCATACAATAAGAAAAAAATACACTGCTTTGAAAAGGCTCTTCAACACTAGTAGCTTAAGGAATAGACATAAGATTTTTTCCTTTGACATACTCAGTAAAGGATAGTAGAGAAAAATAATATATGTTTAACAGTACTAGATAGATACAATAAAACATTATTAATGTTTTTACAAAGAACATCAAAAAAGGTCACAATTCTTTTGGAAAATGCATAAATACCACCATCCTCTTTATAGTTAGATAGTAAGATAATATGGCAAACTCCCATGGTGTGTCTCTTAGTTGAATGAGTATGATAGGAGATGGCTCTTATTTTCTGTTGTTTAAATTTATCACTAGTAAGATATCTTATTTTAATTTTTAATTCCTGTATCACTTTTCTCTATTTATTTTTCTTTTTTTGATTGAAGTAACATTTGTTGAAAACACTGTACATGATTTGAAAATACAGGATCGCACCCTCCTGGTGAAGGCTACCTCACCACATCCACCACCAAGTCACCTGTAGCCCTCCACCACAGACCATTGTCTCATCTGCCCATTCGTTCACCCCTCTTTTCTCCTGCTCTGGTAGCCTCACTTATATGTGGAAGATAGAGTAACAAAACAAAGAACCATATAAAAATAAATAAAACAACTTTCTTGATTCCCTGCCTAATCTCAATCCTTCCCATAAAATTCAAAATTATGCAGCAAGGCCAGACAGATCATAACTATGCTTCCCTGTGCCTTCCACCCATTACTCAGCCCATGTTTAGATATGAAGAATGTACTAATGATTTCTGGTTGTCAGCAATGTGCTGGGCTTCTCTGGCTATTTAATGAAACAGTGCATTTTAATGTACAAGAGAATAGAATAGGATCTGGTACACCATGCCAGCCATGTGTTATCAGACATAAAACCTGACACTTGTGTGCTTCAAGTCTCCCATCTATTCTACTGAACCTCAGGAAATTAAAATAAAAAATGGTTGAATGCTGAAAATTTTAAATGGTCCTATGAATAAAAAGGAGGAAACTGATCAGTTTTTACTCAAAAATAATATGCCTCAACATACTCATGTAAGGGGATGGACAAAGTAAGCACTTACTCAGGGTCATTATCACTACAATTCTCAAAAGGAGACACCTGGCATTTCCCATTTCAGCCTTCGTACAAGTTCTGGAATATAAATAATGTGGAACTCTGACTCCGAAGTTATTGCTGCTTCCTCTATAATCATGTCGTCAGCTGCCGGTCTGAGATTGCTGAAAGTAATCTTAGTTTTTCTCTTCAGCAAAATTAACATAATGTCAATCCTGCTTTCTAGGGACATTTTATAAATTAAAGCAACACTGATTTAATCGTTATGAAATGGGCTTTGTTTCTTTCTCCCTCACCCCACCCCCACCATGATGGATCACTTCCCTGGAGTTGCCAAATGGTACCCTAGTGTCCTGAAAGAGTTAAGGCAGCTTGTATATTTGCATAATTTACAACCAGGGAGTAACTGGAGACCCAGAGAATCTGGTTCAGTAGGCCATTTAGAAATTCATTAAAATTCATTCACTCCTTAAGCTTTTTCTGGTTATTATCAGAATCTAAAAATATCAAAATTATGTTTCCAAAAGTAAAGTAGAATATAAGGTAAGACAGACATACTTATATCTATATCTCTAAACTCTTAAATCACCCCATTGTTTGGACTTTTTCCCTTAAACACTGAAACTTATTCATATATTCACATTAGGCAGTTAATTGAACAGAATAGATGTTACTATGGAAACAGTATAGTATGCCCTAGTACTTAGTGAGGAAATGAACACGACTAATTATCACCAAATGTATGATATTTCTGCTTCTATATGCTATAGTTTTTAATGTACAATCTGTTTAATGAGCAGCAAGTTGTTCACCCAGCATGTAGAGGGTGAATGAGGCCTAAAAATAGATGATGAAATCCTCAGGTGTGAATCTGCAAATTTTATTGAAATAAAGAGGTAAGACACTTGCCTCACTTTCATGTATCTTAGCAAGAACGGAAGGCTTATTAGAACCTAAAATCTTAAATAGAAGCAGTGAAGATAATAGAAAAAGGCTGTCAAGAAAAAGGAAAATTCTGTTACTCATGTCATTAAAAGATTTCACACACCTGAGATGCTCCTAGCTGCTAAGAGTAACAATTTGTAATCTGCAGCCTCACTCTCTGAACAGTAAAATGGTCTGAGCACTGAATTAGGAGTTTCTTTCACTCTAACTGTAAGGAATATGAACTGATGGTTCACAACCTGCTTGTAAGAGAATCTACCTTCACTCTCCTATCTAATTTCCATAGTCAGTGGAGTCCTGAAGTCCAGTGTCCAGTTCTTGATAACAGATATTCTCTCATCTTTTTTCCATAAATCCCATGGTGCTAAATCTATGGAATCTCCTCCAGCAAGTACATCTCTAACCATTGTTGGCCAAATGGAAATTGTGAGCTACTGAATTTAGTACTTTTTGCAACATCCTTTGCACAGTTTAGCTTTGTGTATCTTCTCCCAAGCCTATTAGGTTCCCAGTCACACAGAGTCAACCCAAAAGGCAAAATAATAAACAGAATGGCCTTTTAAAGAGAGTTGGGTTTTTATTAACTGCATTTTAAAGAGGGGATGAGATTCCCCCACCCCTTGGTAAATTTATTCCTAAAATATATTATTCTTTTTGATACTATTGTAAATGAGAGTGTTTTCTTAATATCTCTTTCTGATAGTTAATTATCAGTGTAAAAGAACACAACAGATTTTTATACACTGATGTTCTATCCTGAAAATTTACTGTATTTGTTGATAGGTTCTAGTAGACATTTTTAAATTTTATAATAGTTTATTTTTACATATTTTTGTGCATTTTTCCATCTCAGTTGCAATCCCCTTGGGTTTCCCATCACCAAATCACCCATGTGCCATCACCACAGTCCAGTGCATTTCAGTGTTGATATGGCATGTATTTAAAAAATATACTTTATCATGAAAATAACATAGATTGTTACTATAGAAATAGCAAAAGACTTGGGAAAACAAAACATTTCATTGTTTTGAGCATTGCATAGACAAAAAAGGTAATAAAATGCACTGCAGTAGTGAAGGACCATATTTACCCCACAACTTTTTATAAGTAAATCCCCACAATCCAATCACAATGCACATAATGTGTACAAACATCTGCAGATGATCCGCATGTTGTCAGGTCAGCTTCAAAATGTCAAACTGAAAACCATTTATCACAATTATGCGTTAAAAGGCACATTATTTCCACTCTGTGTGATTCATACAGCATTCTCTGAATTTCTTTCATTTCAATCAGCACATGAAATTTAAAATTAAACATTAATCAAGCTGTAAATATTTATTGAACACTTATAGCCAAGTCAATTGGAATCCTGTTACTATTCTCTAAAGAAAGACTGTATTTATGGGCGTGAATAATCAACTATTTCACAACTTTATTATTTCCACGCCAGAGTAAAATTATTATTAAATAATATAGATATTGCTCAACATCTGCAAGACTGAATTTTAGGAATTAAGAACAATGGAATTATTTTCAAACATTTGAGCAATTAAGTTTTAACTATCTACAGCCAATTTAATATATTCCCTATATTTGAGAATGCTAAGATATTTAAAATTCTGGAAAATGCAGAAGACACATTCAGATGTGAAATTGTTTTTCTCTCTTGATCATAGGCAAGTTTATTACTTCATCCCAGAAGCGTAGTTTCCTCATCTATACGATGGGATCATAATTGCACTTATTTCATAACAAAGATGTAATATATTAAGGGAAAGACTTCAGTATGTGCCAGGCCCCCAACTAGCACTCCGCAAATAGTAGCTATTATCACTGTACACAGGGGTGTGTTCAAACAGGGATGGTATGTTGAACACAGAAAATAGTCGCTGTTAGCGGCTCACCAGTTTTCTTGGCCCCTGACACATGAACTACCCCTGCCGCAGTTTGCCAGCACAGTGGTGTGCATGACTATGTGTCCAGCTGTTCTTAACCTTTCTGGGGGTTTGGTTCCAGACAACTGTAAGATGGCTTTCTGGGCCTTCCTGGCGGTGCAATGACTTAGGATGCAGCCCTGCAAGTTGGCCGCAGCCATTTTCAGTGTGAGTTCGATACCCCAGCCTGGAGGTAATCCACATGGTGCAGCAGACCTCTCCTGACCCAACCACTGCTCCCCTCAGCAGTGGACTTTGTCGATCTGCACACTCAGCTCCCCATTCTGCTCTGTCTTTGGTGAATAACCTAACCGCCCCTGAACCTCTGCTCTGTACCCCTGTTCTGTGTGCATAAATAATCTTTTTTAAAAAGACGAAAAAGAGCAACTTCTACAAAACTAAAAATAAATACAATTCTGGTTATTTTGAGGGACAAAACAATGGAGTTCAATTTTCAAACCTAATCAACTTGGCAGGGGCTCTATAGAAAAGACTGTGTCTGGGAGATGAAGAAGTCAAGGTAGCATCTTATTGAGAGCCAGGTTTGGGCCTTCCCATTTGTTGGGGATGTGGCTGAATGAATGTGTGGTATTTTTGAAGTCATCCATAAGTTTGAGAAATTTCAGTTTCACTTCCTAGTTTTCAAAACCAGCAATATCCTACCAGCCTAAGTGGGCCCCTGAACACCTCCTGGTTTTAAGCTTCCATTCTGTCTGACTCCCTCTGGATCTCCTCTACAAGGCCTTTAACGTACCTGGTCTACAGGCACCTTCCCAATGCTGCGCTTCTTTTCAACACGACCTCTACATCTGTGTCAGGTTCCTCATCCTCTCAAGGTTCCCCTGCTATAGGGCTCTCTTTCTCGTCCTTTTCTTCTTTGCAAGTGGTCCTTGATGCAGCTGTCTTCCTGAAGTCCATTTTCTTCTTCATAAGAGCTTTGGGGTCATCTCTTATTGATATGTATCCTGAAGCTTCCACTTTGACTCATTTCTTTTGACCACTTGCATTCTTAGGATTGCTATTCATGAAGCTGGAGAGTTTGGGGTGACATAGAGGAGTGTCCCACTTCTGGTAGATTTTCCTCTTCTTCTTCACACTGTGTTCCCTGAGGGGGGACATATATTCCTGGGGTGTGGTTTTTCCTGCTTCCATCTCTGCCTGAAATTTGCCCTTTTCTTGCTGCCCTTCTGCACTGTGCTAACCTACTGAGTATCCCCGACCTCACAAAACACAGGTTCCTGACTGAAGGCCACTGGCTGGCTCTTGAGCCCTTTTTCTCCCTTCTTGTGGTTTTTGAGCTTCTTGCCAACTCTGTTCACCTCTTCACGCTATCTGAGGTTTGGGATGCCAACTCTGTTCACCTCTTCACCCTATCTGAGGTTTGGGATGCCAACTCTGTTCACCTCTTCACCCTATCTGAGGTTTGGGGCATCTTTGTTTTCGAGTCAGAGGCATAGCAAGAGGGCACAAGAACTCACTTCTTGTTCTCCTTGCCAGGAATTCAGAGATGAAGAGTTTGTTCTGCGCTATGGTAGTCTCAATCCTAACGTTATATTTTAATGTCTGTTTTGGTTTAGTTGTACCTATTCCTTTGCTTCATTTATTTATATTATATATAAAGTGAAATCATCTGGTATTTTCAGCTTGGAATTTAAATACATAATTTCATTTTATAATCATATTACTAATGTCATAGGTAATGAATCTAATTCTGTCATCTTTTTAAAAGATAGTGACTCCAAAGCTCATGCTCTGTTTTACAGGCATTTTCATCTATAATTACTCCTGAAAAATGTTGAAATATTTGTCTTGATAAGTCTGTTAAGAATTATCTCCCAGATGCTTTCAACAGAAAATTCAAAGTAAGCACTAGCATTTGAGAATTCCTTAGCACAAGAATATATACAAAAAAGACACCTCTGTATCAGAGTAGCCCTTAATAATGATGCACAGCAGTAAAGCAGACTCCCCTGAGCTGTGTATCTCGAGTTTTGCAGCCTCTTAGATAATGCCCCTGTACACCCATGCTGACTCTGCTTTATCATTCACACAAGAATTTTTCATATTTGCAATGGGACATTTTCTGTCATGCAGGAGATTGCTCATAACATAGATGCTTTTGCTTTTCAGACTTCCACTGATTCAATGCCAAAGGCATTCCCCAGATATTGTAAAAGCAAAATATGTCTACAAATATATCTAGACCCCAGTTAAGAACCTAGGATAGACTGTAAGGCCTGAATGTTCACTCTTGTTATTTTATAATATTCTCCCCACAATCTGATTTAACACTATTTGCTTATAATCCACTGAAAATATTGTCAGATTAACCCCATGAAGTACATCTCTAACAAGTTGTCCCTCTGGCTCCTTGGTGCCTAAGAAACAATGGGTAAAAATAGATCTTCATTATTTTAAAATTTATTTCTATTATTTTATTTCTGGTCTTGTAGAGTTAAAAAAAAAAAAACCTCTTTTCACTAACAGAAAAATACTATTATCTTAATTTGAGCAGAACATAGTCACACTAATCAAAATGTGTCCTTGCCTCACAGTGAATCCTATACCAAGATGTCTAAATCAGATACATTGATAAAGCATTTCCCTCTCTGCTCTGTTCTGTCAATATGGTTTGCTACCCATCACTTTCTATTATAATACTATCTAACTTTAAATTTTATAACAAATATTACCAACTGAAAATCACTGGCATATTGCCATGCTGTGAGCACATACAAATACATGTTTTTTATCTGTCTAAATGGCAAAAGAATTGATAACTCTGTATCTAAATCTTGGTATTGTTTCAGAAACACATAATGTAGCAAAAATAAATTTTGACTATACAAATTATACATACACAAGTGTACAGACACATAAATACACATATGCATACTTATCCAACTTTATATTGTGTAAGTTCACAACAAAATTCACTGATAAATGAAATCATTAAGTATCACAACACAATGCGTCAAAACCAGGAATTAAAATATGACGACTTTATTGCTTTTCTAATATTTTGGAACAGGTACAATTAGCTAATGCATCATCCATTTCTTGATGCTCGCATAATCATCTCTCCTTCAACTTCCAATGAAAAATTCATATGGGGCCCTCCCTGGTAGCGCAGCGGGTTAAAGCACTGCACTAAGAAGCTTAAGCCACTTCTGCATGAGCTCAATCCCCACCTGCCCCGGAGGAGATCCACATGGCGCAGCAGACCTCTCCTGACCCGCCCGCTATTCCCCTCAGCATGTACTTCGTCGATCTGCCTGTTCTGCTCCCCACTCTGTCCCTGGTGAATGCTGTCACCTTCTGCATCTCTGGCCTGTACCCCAGTTCTGTATGAATAAATAAACAAATCTTTAAAAAAAATAAAAGAAAAATTCATATGACAAGCATCATGCAGAGCACAGTGAACCCTGATCAATGTGGAATGTAGAAAAAATACTATGTTGGTGAGGATGTGGAGAAAAAGGAACTATCCTGCACTGCTGGTGGGAATGCAAACTAGTACAACCACTATGGAAAACTGTTTGGAGGTTCCTCAAACTGCTAAACATGGAGCTTCCCTATGACTCAGCAATCCCACTCCTAGGTATCTACCCAAAAGACACAAAAACACTGAAAAAGATACCTGTACCCCCATGTTTATTGCTGCTTTATTTACAACTGGAAAAACATGGAAGCAGCCCAAATGCCCAAAAATAGATGGCTGGATTAAAAAGATGTGGTACATATATACAATGGAATATTACTCAGCAACCAAAAAAGAGAAACACATGTCTTTTGTAGCAACTTGGATGGAGCTGGAAAAGATCATGCTTAGTGAGATAAGTCAGAAAGAGAAAGAAAAATACTGGATGGTTTCACTCATAGCAGGAGTATAATGGACCAGGCAAGAAAATAACAAGAATAATGAACAACCATATACCAGAGACATTTTGCAAGGGTGGAGTGGGGAATGGGATCAAAAACGGGGGAGTGGGGAGGGAAGTGCATGGGATTTTTGGTGATGGCACATGGGTGACATGGTGATGGGAAACCTGCAGGGATTACAATTGAGATGGCAAAAAAAAAAAAGTAAAAAATGATGTAAAAATAAACTGTTATATAATAAAAATAAATAAATAAATAATGAGAAAAAAAAAAAAGAAAAATTCATATGACAAGCATCATGCAGAGCACAGTGGACCCTGATCAACGTGGAATGAAGAAAAAATACTATGGGTCTCCTCCCCTGCTTAGTTTCCTTCTTATATAGTGAAATAATAATAATAATGGTGATGACTGGACAAGTACTTATAGTAAAATGTCAAGGGAGTCAATGAATTTTTGTCAAAAGACCATCAACTTTACATTTGAATGTATCTATCATCTCCATCCATATCACAGAAACCTTTATACAGTATTCGACCAAAAACCATTATTTCTCTGGTTCTAAGACATAAAATGATAAAATTATAGGCAGTAAAATGATAGTTATATGATTGACATTTGGGGGGCTACAGTCTTATGATGAGACTTCTCCTATTCAAAGGTATATTGAGCTTTGTGTTTGAAAGGGAGAGTTCAAGGACAGTTGTATCAACTTTGTGCTACTTATTTAGGGTACAAATTGATGAGTTTACCAAAAGGCTACAATGATTCCTTTCTCAGAGCTGACAGGTTATTGGAATATTGCTGGAGAAGAGAACATTACTTATATGTTATTCATTGTTTAGTATCACAGCAAAGTATAGGGGCCAACAACTCTGGGAAGACTTCTTAATTCTCTATTCCTTGAGATTTTATAGTCATATGAAACTATAGAAAAAATATTTTAAATGATAAACATGACTGATTTTTACTTATCATTAGCAAAACATTTCATATAAAGGCCGAGTTTCAGTATGAATGGAAAATATCAATAGTCCATGCCCTCCTTCAGCTCCACACTCATTTACCACACTGACACATGCTTCAATTTTACCCAGAGGGCCCTCTCTGGTGGCTCAACAAGTTAAAGCACAGCACCTAGAAGCTAGCCACAGCTGCTTCTGCTCAAGCAGGAGGTGATCCACATGGCACAGCAGACCTCTCCTGTCTCACCAGCTGCTCCCCTCAGCAGTATATATCACCAATCTCCTTGTTCTGCTCTCCACTCTTATCTGTGGTGGATCTTCTCACTGTCCCTGCATCTCTGGCCTGTACCCCAGTTCTGTACACATAAATAAATAAATAGTTAAAAAAAAACTTTACAAGATTTAATCCTATGTTCCTCTTTTACTTTAACTGATTCCTATATTTTATGACTTTTTGTTTTAATAATTTGCAACTGTCATTCAATTTTTATATAAAGGCTGAAACATTTTCTTTTTGTTCTCCTTGAGCACTGAACTATCATGGTTGCTCTTTCCCAAAATGGATGTTCAAATTCAAAAGTGTTACCTAGTAGAGTGGCCACAAACACACCTGAGTCTTTGTGTGATTGCACTCCACTGACAGATGTGCATTTCTGACCCTGCAACCTCTGCTTACATCATCATGATTAACAAAAATGATGACAGTCACTGAGCAACAGGTATGTATCAAGTACCATGTGATAAGGAGTTTTCATGCTCTGTAATCTCTACAAATCTCCATTATAAATATGAAAAGGATGAGATTCAGGGAGATAAGTAAGTTGGCCAAGTTTTCCTAACTAGTGAATGTAGTAAATGGCAAATTTGAGAACAGGAGGAGGGAAGATTGAATATCAAAGAGACTTCAACTTCTTCAGTCTTCCCAAAGTTTTAACTATTTTTATGAGGACAACCTAAAAGGCACCCTCCGCAGGAAAAGTATGCTTAATTTTACAATGAAGAAAATGTGTGCACACCATTTTAATAAACAATTTACATATAGGGCATTTAAACATTTGTAAACCTCCAATCCATGAAAGGGTGTATAGGTGGAGGAAGGAAAATGACGAGGGGGAGGAAGGAAGAAAGAGATTAAACTTTTTTGATGCCCAAATTTATAATTACACCCCTCCCTTAAAAAATTCATCTAGTCCAAAGTCATTTTGAGAATGAAATGCCCATGTTTCTTAGAGAGAGTGAGAGATCATGAAGAAAAATGGTGATTTAAAGAAAGTAATTCACACAGTGTCAACATTTTTCTTTCCCACATGTTCCCTGTGATAGCAAAAGCATTTACTCCTCCAATAGTCCAAAAACAATTAATGCCATACATCATGTGTGAATTCAACTGACAGGACACACCATCACAGCAGCTATGGCACAGCATGCTAAAGAAGCCAAGCACAAGTATCGTCATAGTTTAAGACAAAATATATATATAT